GTCCACTTTAAAAAGAGGCAACAGGAATGTGGAAGCGCGAGTAGAGCCGCATGCCACCAAACAATAAGCCTTTTCACCATGTAATTCAAAGCATGCAGAGCACGCAGGGCCACAAACCGAGAATTTGCGGTTTTGCAGGTGGCCTTCGTGGCCAAGCGAGGCTGGAATTCTTGGAGTCGGCTTTTGGGAAGAAATTCCCGTCGTTAAGGGGTTAAATAGCAAAACACACAATGAAAATAAGGTTAATTGAAATACAAAGGTGTCTTTCCATGTGTTGTACTAAATAGAATTTGTTTCATATACTGTACATGAAGACTCTTAAACCCCACAGCCACTGAGCTAGTCCGTGTTCCACTGTACCACTCACTACATGTACATGTGCTTGCAGCTGACAAGTTTGAGTAGAATCTCACGGTAGAATCCTAGGTGCCAGAGAGCAGTTTACCTGTCTTCCTCAGTGAAATGCTGGCTCCTCTTGCCATGAAACTGCTCCCTTGATTTCAAGTTCCTTCCATTATTTCTTTTGCTACACTTAAGTCGTGATTTCCTGAACAGAAAGCAAACCAAAACAAAACAAAAATGCCCAATATGCAGAATGTGTTAACAGTCTCAAACTAAAATTCTGAGGAAACCTTTTTATTATTTTCTGGTATTTCTCATGTTTGCCACTTGCAATAGTCCAGACTAAGAGCTTTTACTGCGGTCACTGTTAGAGTGATGCCTACACTTACAGTATTGCATGAATTTGTGGAGAAGGCCTGTAGTGCAGAAGCAACCTAGAAAACAGAATGCAGTGGCATATATAAGGTGAGAGTTGGTAGGGCACCTCCCGAGGCACAGTTTTCAGGGGGGTACTGAAAGCTGATGAACATCAGCTTGTACAAGCAGGTTGTATGTTTCAAATTCAATTGGGGAAGGGCACAGACCTCTCCACCCCCTTCCCCCCGTGATGGAATGCCCTCCTTCAAATATCTAAATATGGCCCCTGTACTTGCCTTCCAAATGAGCTTTTAGATATTACATTTTGAGTACGTGGAACCCCTTATACCCCACCAAATGTCCAATTGTCACAAAATGTGCCCCTAGCATCATGAAAGACCCATGTAGAAGTGCACTCATTCTCGTCTCATTTTACAAGTGAAGAGCTACTGGTACATGTACATGTAGAAAATTCCAAAACAGATTTTCTGAGTCTAATACTTCTTGTATGTCATGAATAATGTGCTCCTGAGCCTTACCTTAGGGTACTGAAGTCACATGATTTAGCATGAGAACTGATTGTTGAGTCTTGATAGTTAATGGAGACTTCTGGTAATGACAAAGTTGGTTCAACTGGTAGAATTGGAACAACACTTGTAGGAACACAAACTTCACTATGTTGGTGGACTTCTACATTTCTCATTCTCTGAAGATCACTATCAGCACGTCTTGTCACAGCATTCTGTTCCATGGGCGCTGGGGATATACAATTCTGGGAGATAGACCTCAATTCTTGAGTGTGCTGAATCATTCTCTCACAAAATGGTTGATATGAATCAGTTTGGAGTCCTGACTTGCTGTCACTGAAAATTAGCTCATTGGAATATTTTCCAAGAGTACATGTCCATGAAGGTTGGATATGGCTTCCACTCTCAGAAGCATCTGCACTGAGTTCACTTGTAGTAGGCTGCTCCATGTGTTTTGTCAAATTTATCTCTGGTGACAAATAATTTGTACTCCCTATAATAAATGGGTGTTGTCTCATTTATTCAGACATGATAACAGTGATTTGCTTTCCAAACGTCATATAATGGGACACCTTATTTAACCTTTGTTGCAGACAGAGTAACCAAAAACTCTGTTGCAGATGGGGTAACCAATTTGTATCAGCCCTGCAAATACCATGCTAGGGCAAAACAGTTTAAAGATCGGTGAATGCTTCTGTACAGGAAGATTGCAGGGGCTGGCTTGGCACCTCAGGGTTGTTGGATAAGCACGGATCTGCTTACCAACTAATTTCTGCGCAGGACTCCAGTTTGGCTGACTATGGTACTGATGTACATGTATACTTTGACGAATCTGTCAAATGAAAGAATTTAAAAACTTTATAAACAGTTGATTACATGTGGATGCATGGAGCAACAGTATGCACTTTTACCCTTTTATTAGTGACACATGAGCATTCAAGATTCAAAACTGGCTCATTACAGAATAGGCTGGCACTCGCATGATCCACATGCCTACTGTGTAGGACATACTACCCAATAAGCAGTCCAATAATTCCGGCCATCGCCATCTGTCCACTGCCAATCCCTACTGCCAATACCCCATTCAGTTCATGCCATTCCATTGTGGATAGACCTCTATATGCCAAACAATGCATGTAACCATTGTTTGGCATGCACAAAGGTTTTATCCACTACTAACACAGGTCAAGGGTTCCCCCTCATTTTCTCTGTTTTCTCAGAATGACGCAATCAACATTCAGAATTCGCATCTTGCATGGACAGAAAAAAGCCCTTTTAAGCTTGTTATAGTTGAGCTCTCAAGACAAATGACACTGCATTCGCTTGGATGCCTCCACATTTATTTGAACAGATAAAATTAGAGAAAACATGTTTTCCTTAGCGTGCTCTTTAAAGCAACCCTGCGCTGGTTCATGCTGTGCAAAAGAATACGTAATGGAAATGTGGAAACCAGTTTATACAAATAACATTGTTACACTACACTGGCTGTACAAGCACACAACCCTAAACCAGTCTGTAAATCTCAATCCCCTTCTCTGCTGCATTTTGGAAAGTGTTGATGTTAATGTGGAAGCTGACACTGTTGACTAGCATGATGACTGGCCTCTCTTTGCCTGCATACTGATCAAAGTGATCTACATGTATAAACTTCGTAAAGGGGGGTCATCCATCCCTTGTCAGTGTACTCTCCATGTGCCCCTCTTGATGCACCAACAAGAGGATCATACCCAGAGAACTTTTTCTTTGAGAATACAATGAAGGAGGGCATGAGAGTACCCTCAGCATTTGCGCAATACAAGACAGTGAACCTATTTCTGACGGAGCCACCTGATAGATGAGGAACTGGATGAGTAAGCACTTCTGGTGCAACAACTTTTAAGTACTTATTCCAAACAGTGAAACTTGTTTCGTCGGCATTCCACACTCTGTGTGGCTGATCCAACAGATCTCTGTCAAACATAAATTTTACGTACTTCTCAAACCAGTCATCCATCTGACCTGAAGTTACTTTGGCTCTGGATGACTCTGGGGTAGATTCATATATAAGTAAAAGGCCTTGTCTGGCAATAAATGAGTAGTACCACTTGTAGCCTTGTCTGTTATTACGAAACACAGTTTTTCTCTTTTCCTGATTTTAATCTTTGCACCAGATCCATGATATCTGATGGACTCAATCCCATTCCCTTCGAGACCATCTGAGAAACGAAATTTGCAGTAGTCTTCTCTTCTTCAGGTTTGAGAACAGGAGAGGGTCCGTTTCGGCGATTAACTTCAACATGAACTCTTAATCTCCTGTACAAGACAAAGTAACCTATGCCATATTTTTCAGCAGCTTTATTGATGTCACACTTTGATCCTTGTATCTCGGTTATTGCCTGTTTCACCACTTGCTGTTTCTTAGGTGACATGTGATAACCATGATAATATTTCGTCTTTGATTTTGATGCTGGTGCTGCTGCTGGAGTGCACTTTTTACCTATGTGCAAAACAGGATTTTTGCTTACCTTCGGCATTGTCTGTACAGTAAAGAAATGAAATGAAAAGCACTGACAATAAAGATCAAATCCATTGTTAGTTTCTGAGAGATCCTTAAATGTAGAGTGGATTGGAATTGTTTTAATACAACAAAATAAAATGGTGATACATTAAATGTTTGAAACTGTCCACGTCCAACTGTTAGATGCTGTCCTCAAACAGAAACCCAGAGTCGAACTCGTGACTTTGTTTTTCCCTGTGGTATCAATGTAGGAAGACTTAAACACACAAATGCTTGAAATAAGTTAATCTTCAATAGCACAATAATAAACAAGAACTTACAGAATTGTTAAGGTGCAAGTACCCTGTGTTACATTTCGGTAGGAGTTGATACTGTAGGCCAGCTCTCAGAGAATGCACATTTTGGAAAATTAAAATTTATAGCCTAATTTTAATGAGAAAAGTGGAGTATTTAAACTTCTTTGTTTTTTCAAATAGAATGTTTCAAACCCTGAAAAATATCTTTTGAAATTTACAAAGCGAGACTGCTAATAGGAATAGTTACTCATAGTAGGAAAACCTGTAAAATCTTGAGATAGTAGCCTAGGCTGACCTCTCTTAATCTTTTTAAACTAGTCCATTTTCTTTGGTAGGCTTAGTCTCTGGGGATCCTGGAAGTTAACAATAAAAAATTCAAAATGCGTGTCTGCATGTGTAAACCTGTTCTTTCTTGATTTTGTTTAAAAAACCTCTACATGTACCATTCATCCCCTCTCCCAATTTTTAACTTTTTCCTATTCCCAAAAAAAATGCGTTTTGCCAATTTTCAAAAGTCACCAGTTCACATAGGGAAGTAAAAGTTATTTTTTTTACCAATTCTGTTATCTACTAAATTATTGTGTTAGGCACATGAAGTGCATAGAAGAAATGACAGAGGAGATCCGTACCAAGCGGCTTTGGTCTACACAGATCATGGTTTATTTCCTGGTGTAAAACTCACTTTTATGCAGTTTGAGGAATTGGACAAAAATCTGGTATTTACTTTCCCAAAGAAGACATGCAAGATAATATACAATTCATATTTCCACGTTACAATTATTGGTACATGTAGTTTCTGATAATAATTTGGTCGATGGTTTAAAACAATTTGCCGTGACGATCATCCCGCAGAACAACGAACACAACACTGCGTTCAATGCAAATGCGCACTGCGCCGCTGTTGTAAATGCTGTACGGACGACTCATGGTTGTGTGCGTGCGCAACATTTTTACTGGGGTCTCCTTAAAATGAATATTTATCTTATGTGACCTTAGTGAGGTTGGCGCATGGGGAATTCATTCATAAAAACTGCTCGTGTCTGATGAATTTTAATCTAGAAGGAAGGTTTTAACCAATAAGAGTTCACCAAATATATCGTCTGCCGATTCATTAAAGACAGGCAAAAACCTGCAGTGAAAGAACCGCGAATTCGAGGAGAATTTGTGGACACTTTCGCTCCATAACATGACGCTTGGTGTGTGAAAAAAGAAGTTTTGCGGGGTGTTTCCCACCACGAAGATCACTTATTTATACAAGTATGGATATAATAACTACATGTAAGTTTGCTTCTATAAAATAGCAGCTTTTCAAATGGGCAATATGTGTGGTTTTTTATAAAACGGTGGGATTCCCCAGCGAGTATTACGACAAAATGTACGAGAAATGAATACTCACATGTACGCATAGTGCATTACTCTGCGTACGTGCACATGTATATAGGGCTATACACATGTATACAACGGGCATCCCTAAAACCCGAATTCCGTAGTTCACAATATTTACACTAAAAACGGGAAAGGGAGGGAAGGTTCCTTCACCACATTTGATCCATATTGTGGGGTTTTCTAAAAAAAAAAGGTACCAATGAAAAATATTTGTTTCAAAGGAATTTTTATTATCAGAAAAATATAAGGCCTAGGCCTCAATATTTGCATGAAGCTTACACTTTATTTATAAAACTCTAGGCCTAGATACTATCATCTTAAATCAAACATTACAATAAACAATTTGTCCACTATAGATTCAAAGTTTTACATGTCAATATTTAATTCATTGTTAGACCTGCCCCTATGTCAATGACAAACAAATTTCTCTTGATGCTTAATTTTTTTTATAATTGAGTCTCTGCATTCCTTCCTCCATTGTCTCATCAGCATGGAGCAATAGTCACAAAGAAATTGAAAGTATATTGAAATTGAAAGTATACCTCAAAAAGTGCCTTTTACACCAAAATGGAACAGGTGCTATGTAATCCCCAATGTTTGCTCCATCTATAATGTTGAAAATGCCGTACTTCGCGACAATTGATCAGTTTGAAATACATGTACATACCTATGATGATCAATCCAAATTGCTTACTCGCCTTTGTGTGTTACTGTGTCCTGATGAGTATATCATTGCTGACCCATTGAAATTGCAGTCAAAAAAGTCATAAAAGAAGGATAAAAATGTCCTGGAAAACCTTGAAAATCAATCTCTTCATAAACAGAAGAAACTCCAATAACAGCAGCAAATGTACACTGATTTTGGGAGATAAATTAAATAAACTAAACACTAAACTAAAATAGCATCACTAATCTCACAGACTGGCTGCCATGTTTGAATGACATTTGTGACCTTTATTCATGATTAGTTTCTTTGAAAAAGATAAAATTGCACAATGTAGGCCTATTCATATCGCAGTTTGAATGACCTTTTGCAACGGTCGTGCGTGCTGTCCAGCCATCACAAGAGGGCGTTTTATCAAACTCTTTAGGTTCCACATGCCCACAACCGTATGCAGCGATGATTACAGCGGTGACTGCCGCAGAAGCGCTGTCAGCCAACGACAGTTGTGACTCGTGGCTGGTTTTTCTAAATTTGCATTGGATGTTTGGTAAACAAAATATATTTTTACTGAAATAAGTTTATAACCAGAGTCGTTGGCGACTCCATATTTTTGAAATCAAAGACTTTTTTTTTTTATTTTGCGGAAATGGACAATTTGCGGAACTGGACAATCAACTGTACCATGAGACTGTCTGTCTATAAATCTTATATTGCATTCTCTTTTATGTATGGTTGATGTACCTAATAATAATAATACTGTAATAATACCTAATATTAGGGACAACTTGACCCAGCAATGCCTGGGAACGACTTGACTCAATACCAATATGGGGCAGCGTGGACATCCAGGATTCTCGCAAAATGACAGGTACTGCGCTGGTGAAAAGAGCGACCTTGGATCAAGTTATACAATCTTTTCTTTGATCTGTGCGTACGCGTGCACTCGTTGCAGTTGTTTTCATTGGCGGGGTGAGATTGCTACCCGCATTTTTTGTGAAACATCCCGGATGTCCGCGCTGCCCCATACACTGACAGTGGTACTCTGGCAGATATCAATCTCAAATATGGATTATACAGTTGAACGTTGTTAATGAGAGGTCCTTAGGACTTGGCAAGTCACCTTGTTATCACACTAATAGGAACCATGTATTAAAACTATTATAGTATCAGGAACGAAAACAATGAAAAACAAAGGCTTAGGCCTGGGTCAATTTAAGACCTAAAAATAAGCAGAATATTATTAGCAGTGCTCTTATCATGCTTATTAAATTTAATGAAATCATGGAGGTTCGACTGTACTCCATCGCCATTTTGTTCAAATTAAAGCCTCAATTTTTAGTTTTACATGTACAGTACGTGATGTATACTCACCAATCTCTATCTTTGGCTTCGCACGATACGTAGCTCTGCGGCCTTTGATAAAGCCTTTATCACGTTGATCGGGCGCGCGGCCCGGCTGCATATGGGACCCATTATGGTGCATACTATGGTGGCCCTGAACGGACATAAAAATTCACAATTATTTTTAAACGTTAATTAGCTCCAGTGGACTCGCCACTCACTTCTACGCAGGGCCCCTTCAGCTTGGGGTTCTTACAATAAGATAATGCCATAATCGGGGGGGGGGATTCATAGAAATATTTCTATTCATCCCAAATTTTGGACTGGTAGTTTCTAGTTCGGGGTACTTCTTTCACAAAAAGCCCCAAATTCCGGGCCTATTTTTGATAGAAGCGGGCGGCTGCAAGAGCTGAGCGCATAGAGTGCTGTTATTTTGGGGGTATCTTCGGGAAAGGCGAATAAAAAAAATCACGTGGCTAACCCCCATAAAAATGGAACGAAAAGTGATCTCCTGGACATAATCTTGAATTTCCAGTGAAAAAAAACGGAGGCCAACCTGTTCCCGAGAGTCAACAGGCGGCGCTATTATAATTCGGTCTAATTTTGTTGTTTTCTATGGGCGCGTGTTGGTGTAGTGTAGACTTGATTCAAGTCAGGACATCTGTGACGTCTTCGTTTATGCTTCGGATAGGCCTACACATCGAGACCTCGTGCCGTTACTTTAATACTCAGATTGTGTCCACTTATTACTATGAATTCAGTTCAGAAATCCCGACTTGACAAATCTGCCAACCGTTTGTACACAGCGAATGGAGTAGTGGGGGGATATCACACCAACCCCTCTTTTCCTACTTCCAAACCAACTGGGACATCCCCCAAAACTCGTGACCCAAGGCTGGCGCGACCTCAACGCGACCCTAACTTTACTGTCGCGGCGTCTTCAAACACACAAAAGGGGGGATTCCCCCGGGACTTTCCACCACAGGAAAAAAATAGCTCTACTCTGGAAGTGTCGGGAAAATTTAGATAAAATTGAAATTAAAAAATATAAAAAACATGATAAACCATAAAACAAACGTGAATTGTTATTTCTGCCAAGACATGAGAAATTCAATTGACTTGATAGATTCTTACGATTGCCTGCGCTGTTTAAATTCCGACCGTTTGTTTCAATGCATCGATTGCAAAGAATGTCACGATTGTCACAAATGCAAGGACTGCACTAAATGTAATAATTGCTCTACTTGCGACGATTGCGGCGGGAGTATAAATTGCGTATATTGTTTAAATTCATACGACTGCCAAAATTCAAATGCCTTGGATGGACAGTTGCGAAGACTGTTATGATTGCGGTGATTGTATAGAGTGTTTTGGTTGCACCGCTTGCACCTGCTGCGTAAATTGTATGGAGTTGGAAGGAATGGATCACGTGGTGCTCATAGACGGCAAGCATAAAAGCTGCGGTACATGCGAGAAAACGATTCATTGCCCGATTCTGCGACCAAACTCGATTATGATTTATACGAAATTGGTTTAATAATTGAATACGACGTCGACGTTGAAGATTTAATTAAAGTAGAAATTCCACCCGAGTTAATAGACGCGGCTGATTAAAAATGAAAAAAAATTTTGGCAAAGCCGGAAATCAGAACCATCTGAACCCAAATACATATATATATCGTAACGGGCGAGCACGAGCGACTTAATGCCCGCAATAGCGATCCCAATATTAACTCTGGGCCCTTTGACGTAAGCAAATTAATCATTTCAAATCCCGTGATTAAAGAAGGCATTCACGTAAGTCAATGCTGCTCTCCCATTTATTATTCCCACGAAGGCGTACAAAAGCGCCTACTAATTATGATGCCAGACACGGCTTGTTACAGCATAATCAATTTGAGGCAAAATAAATTGCAGCTTCAAATAATTCATCACCACAGGAAATTGGAGGCTCTTGTCACTAAGTGGGTCAGTAGTGTTCACTTACGGTTGCTGGCACGGTGATTTAATGCCTCGAACTAGTTACTGGCGTGACCTTAAAAATGTTAGTGGCACTGGAGAGAGTTACTCCCGGTCACTTTTGCTTGAGCAGCCGTAGCGTTTGGTTGGAAAACAGAAAATCTGTCTGTTTTGCAAAAGCAATTTTGTTAGTTATGCCTCGCACCAATTCCAAGCGGCGGGCTCCTTCTGGGCCGACGGATGGAGCGAAGCGTTCTCAGGGGCGGCCGCGCAAGTCTTCCCGTCAAGATGCGTCGGTGGTCGCGGCCCTTGCAGGGTCTAGTGCACCGCAGCTTGCATCGCCCGGTCCGAATACCACTATTATACCGTTGGCTACTGTCGGAATGATTCCAGAGAGTGCAAGTGTTGAGTCTACCCATGCAACACCAGCGCCCGCTACCATCAGTCGGCCTGGAGGGAGTTCGGGGCAACTTTGGAGCCGGGTATTAAGTCCCCTGTTGCTACTCCTTTTGAATTAGCCCCGCAACCTTCCAGTTTCACGCCCGTGGTGTCGGGAACTTCAGCTCCAAGCACATTGTCAATTACCTCCTCTCCCGATTCGAATATGGCATTAACTAGCGTCTGTGACGATCTCGCGCCGCGATTCCTCAACATCTAAAAGACAAAATTTGAAGGGGGCAGTACGTAGAATTCGGAACTTTGTTGAAGTCGTCGCGCGGCACAGGTTTGGATAATTCCTTTGACGAGACGCTTTTTACAATCAGGTCCAATGAGTCCCCACTTTGGCAGATTCGTCCCCATAAGCAGGCTCCGCGTATTACGTCTATCGAGTAGTGGACGTCGGCGTTTCTAGTTTTTGCATCTGTGTATTTGATGCGACATCCTACCCACGCTCGTTCCTTACTGAAGTAGGCAGACGCTATTCGATCTGCGGCATTTCGACATGTGGGGTATGGTTGGCGCGAGTACGACATCCAGTTTCGATTGCGCCAGGCGCGTGTGCCGTCGTGCTCTTTGGCAAATATTGATGCCGAACTTTGGCTGGTGCTGCTTGGTGCTTCCGTTTCGCACCACCATAATTTTCGTCTGTACAAGCAACGCGAGCGTGCCCCTCCCCCACTGCCGCCAATCCCTGGCCCGATTTCGGGCCTGGTCGGCGCCCAGTTGCCGGGGTTGGTCAACCTACATGTAACGACTTCAACCGCGGTCAGTGCAATCGCCCCTTGTGTCACTTTACGCATCGCTGCTCCACCTGCAGGGTATTTCGCCACCCTGCAACCAGTTGTCGGGGAAACTCACAGTCTCGCGTCACAGCACGGGTGCCGGCAGCTGGCATCAACACCGGTAAAAATAAGTAGTATGCTCCCTTTTTACGGGCTTACCCTAACACTCAGGATTCCTGCATTTTGCAAGAAGGTTTTTTGCGCGCTTTCCGGGTAGGCTATTCAGGTCCCAGGCTTAGTACTTCTGCTTGTAATTCTGCATTTGCTCGCAAACATCCCAACATTCTGCAGTCAAAAATTGATCGTGAAGTTGCTTTGGGTCGCGTTGCTGGCTAATTTTTGTCCCAGCCTCTTCCTCATTTCCGTTGTTCACCTATGGGCCTGGTGCCCAAACAGACTCCGGGTGAATTTCGGTTAATCCATAATTTATCGTCCCCTATCGGCAAATCGGTGAATGATTTCATTGATTCCGCAGACACTACCGTTTCATACACGAGTTTTGATGAGGCGATAACTATGATCACAGGTTTACCACGCAGTGCCCTGATGGCTAAGTCGGATATTAAGTCGGCCTTTCGTTTACTTCTTGTCCATCCAAGCGATTTTGATTTGCTTGGTTTTTCCCATAACGGCAAATTTTATTTCGATAAATGCATGCCTATGGGCTGTGGTATAGCCTGCGTACTGTACTCGTAAGGTGGCCGAAATATTGTACATTATCTGGATGATTTCCTGTTCGTTGGGGCTAGTCATGCCGAGTTTGCGCGTTCCCTTCAATCTTTCAGAGTAGTTTGACAGCAATTTGGGGTACCCATCGAGGAAGAAAAAACAAAGGTCCAGCTGCGAACCTCACGTTCCTGGGTTTAGCGATCAATACGGTTGCACGACAGTTTAAAATCCCGACTGATAAGCAAGTTGCTTTACAAAATACGATTGTTAGTATGCTCGATCAGAAGAAAATCACGCTGCG